AGTTTTGGACGATAATTGTGCTAATAGCGTGCTCCCCGAATGCACCCGTACACGGCTCTGTCAGCTGTGTGCGTGTCCCCACCAAGCGCGCAGGCAGCGGGCAAAACAGCACCATTGGCACCTCTAAACACAGCCCTTGTCAGTATGTTACCACGGAAATTCCCCATGAGCTGCTCTTACTTACAACACTTACTTACGTACAACTTACAACTACTTGTTAGTGAGAATCATTTTTCCTAAAGTTTAGCCTAATTAATTAATAAATCTCATTAAAATTTGGCTCATTTTAATCAGTAAGATCAGCCGCAACCCGGTATATAGCCAGATTTTGCATTTTGGCTCTTAAAAATTTATAATAAATAAAATACGGACTCGCAGCTGACTTAACCTGACCCGTTGCTAGCTGCGCATTTCCCCACATTTATTGTAAATTTTATTTCGATCCTTTTTCCAAAATCCGGCTATGTACCGGGTTGCGGCTGATCTTACTGATTAAAACAAGCATAAGTGAAATGAGATTCGTTAATTAATTAGGCTAAAATTTGGGAAAAACGAATCCGTAATTCCCGACCAGCCGACAAAGGTCTCCACTCTTACTTCTGTCGACCCTTAATATAACAGTTAATATCTCGCTTCGCGGGGCAGAGCGACACTGGCCTAGTTTACACCGGACTGTTTGATACGCGTACCAAGTACTATATCCGTATCAAATCCGTATCAAATCTCGGGTTATCCCGGTGTAAACCGAGATTTGATACGAATTTGATACGGATATAGTACTTGGTACGCGTATCGGTCGGTGTAAACTAGGCCACTTTTTTCTGCCAAATTCGGTCGTTTTGTGCAAAAACGCGTCGATTAAGCCTAAGTTCAACAAAATCGGTGAGGAGGCCCAAATTCTTCAGATTTACCATATATATAAAATAATAGATATATAGGATAATTACATAAAATAAAACAATTACCTTGAATTAATCGTCGCGTCGCGTAAAAAGTCACGGTCGGTCTTGCTCCGCGCGTACTACCGTCCCAGCAAACGAAAAAAGATTGAAAAGAATTAAAACGGGATTGCCAGGAATTCAATTAAGGACTTTCCGAATTCCATTCTGTCCAAAAAAGGGATTGAAATAGTTTCAATATCATGGAATTCCTTATTTTGAAAAGAATTTATCTTTTTTGAATCCCATCCAATTCCGACACAAAAATATTATACCACTGAATGCCAGGTTAGGGATTGGAAAGTTTCGTGATGAATTCCATT